TAGAGGAAGTGATTATTCCCCTCTATGCGGCACTAGTGAGGCCACATTTGGAGTATTGTGTCCAGCATGGGCCCCCCACTACAGAAAGGATGTGGACAAATTGGAGAGAGTCCAGCAGAGGGCAATGAACATGATTAGAGGACTGGGGCACATGACTTATGAGGAGCGGCTGAGGGAACGGCTTATTTAGTCTGCAGAACAGAAGAGTGAGAGGGGAGTTGATAGCAGCCTTCAACTACCTGAAGGGGGGGGGTTCCAAAGAGGATGGAGCTTGGCTGTTCTCAGGGGTGGCAGAAGACAGAACAAGGAGCAATGGTCTCAAGTTGCAGTGGGGGAAGTCTAGGTTGGCTATTAGGAAAAACTATTTCACTAGGAGGGTGGTGAAGCACTGGAATGGGTTCCCTAGGCAGGTGGTGGAATCTCTATCCTTAGAGGTTTTTAAATGCCCGTCTTGACAAAGCCCTGCCTTGGATGATTTAATTGGGGTTGGTCCTGCTTTGAGCAGGGGGTTGGACTAGATGACCTCCTGAGGTCTCTTCCAACCCTAGTCTTCTGTGATTCTGTGAATCCATGCTTCCCTTTCCTTGTATATGTCTCTGATTTTCACTCATTTTCTCTTCCTTGTTCTCCTCAGGGGAAGGTCCTTTTCCAGGGTTGATTGACATGTTTGGTCTCGTGGGTGGACTCACTGAATTCCGAGCCAGCCTCCTTGCCAGTCGTGGCTTTGCTGCACTTGCCCTAGCTTACTTTGCGTATGAAGACCTACCCAGTTTTCTAGATGAGGTGGATCTGGAATATTTTGAGGAAGCTGCCAACATACTCTTGGAACATCCAAAGGTACTTTCTACTCACAGATAAGTTCGATATCTTGTCTCCCTATCGCAATTACTGCCGAAGAAATCCAATAACCCTCCATAAGGTGTAGCTTGTGTGTCTAAGGATATAACTACCCTGCAAAAAACAATGTGTGCTTAACTTGGGTTAACTGACTCAGGTTACGAGAGCAGTGAGGACACAGCAACATCGCTTTTAACTCAGGTTAGTAGCTCAAGGTCACCCCCATTCTTCCATATAATCTTTAACTTGAGCTACTAACCTGAGTCAAAAGCTGAATTGCTGTGTTGTCACTGCTGTTTTTAACCCGAGTTAGCTAATGTTGGGCAGCTAAACTGAGTTAAGAATACACCATTTTTTTGCAGTGTAGACATACCTTGAATTACTGCCCGGTCCATATTGCAATTCCCTGCAATCCCTGCCACTAACAGGGTATTCTTACCCACTGTCACACCTCCCGGGGAAGACAAAGATGACCAACTGCAAGTTTGATTCTCCTCCTGTTGAGTTTGCTCAGAGGTGCTCCAGACTTTGTCTTATCTTTGGCCTTCTGACTACATCACAATCTTCTCTGCTTCACAGAATGGGTCCTGTTGGATCCGTAGGAAAACTAGCTCTGTGTTCAAAGAGGAACATGTCCTATCATTTTGAGTCTCACCCAGAGTTAGGCACTACAACTTGTTATTGAGCAAGGCAATAGGGTCAAGATACCAAGGTTTTTATCTAACATTTTTGTGTGTGTGTGTGTGTGGGGGGGGTGCAATGGGATTTCCATGGGAGGTGGACTAGACAGAACCTCATCTAAACTTATTCTGAAGGATGACACATCTAGTGGTGCAACCCCATTCTCTTCCCTCATACTGCTCAGCAGGGTTAACATCACGCCCCTGCCTGCTAGCTCAAATGTCTACCCAGCTATCAACAAGCACGTATGTAATCAAAGTTGTTTTTTTAAAGTAGAGATGGTGGTGGTGGTAGGGAGACAGGGAGCTAATTTCCAAGGTAATTATGACCGCCACATTTAAAGTGGAAAATATGGGGAGTGGATACATAGTTTTGGAGATGGAGATAGCAAGATGGAGATTTGCAGTTCATACTTATAATTGCATATTTAATTTAATTGCACAATTGCATGTAGAAAGCTGAATATTTACATACATCTAAGTGGCCATGTGCAAATACAGTCTGCATTTGCAGGCTTGGTGTTTGCCTTGCATAATTTAAGGTGTAATGGTGAATATCCATCTTTCAAACTTATGTCAGTTGGATGCTTGTGTTATCTTGACTTACTAGTGAAGGTCCAGATATCTTGGTGACAGCCACACTAAATATGCTTAGACAAGACTGTCACTGTTGTGCCACTTGATCAGAGAACAGGAATCATTAAAGGGCAGAACACACACACGAAGGCTGGACATTAATTTAACGTTTAATGTATTTCTTTATGGTGTATTTTCAGGTGGGAGGGGCAGGAGTTGGTGTGGTTGCAATCTGCAAAGGTGCTGAGATTGCACTGGCAATGGCGACGTTCCTACCACAGATCACAGCCACAGTTTGCATTAACGGGACCAATGCCATCCACGGGACTGCGCTGCGCTACCGTGATCTCCACATCAGTCCAATACCTTACAAATTTGAGTGTGTGCGGTTCACACCTCTGGGGCTGCTCTCTTTCTTCAGTGTCATGGGGGACACTCGAGCAGAGGCAAATCAAGGTAGCATCATTCCTGTTGAAAAGGCCCAGGGTCAGCTCCTCTTGGTGGTGGGAGAAAGTGACCAGAACTACAACAGCAAAGCATATGCTGAGGAAGTGATGGAGAGGATGAGGAGACATGGGAGAAAGAACTCCACTCTGCTGTCTTACCCAGGCGCTGGGCACCTGATAGAGCCCCCGGGGTCCCCGTTCTGCCCCTGCTCACGGAACCCCTTTGTCGTCTTGCCCTTGATGTGGGGAGGCGAAGCCCAACCCCATGCCGCCGCACAGGAACATTCTTGGAGAGAGATCCAAAAATTCCTTTGTCAGCACCTGTGCCCAACAGGAAGCAGCAAACCCTGAAAACAGGAAGGCCTGGACCGAAAAGTTTCTGTGCCCCATGCCCTCCTGAACCCGATCAAGAAATATTGGAACAATCTGTGAATTCTGGGTATCGACTGAAAGAGAAATACACCACCTTGGGGACGAGGGTGCATTTCCAACCACTACAACGTGGACATCTTCTCTTGTAGGCCTGTAGCCAATAGCAGGTGGGAAACACAAATGCACGAACAAGTCTGCCTTCTTCTAGATCGAATCATTCATGTGCCTGGGGCCTGATCCAGCTCTCACTGAAATCTATGGGAATTGGATCAGGCCCCACGGATGGGAGTCTGGTGGTGGCTTCTGTCTGCAGAGTTCTATGCAAAATTTTCCAGTTTTGCTTCCCAGCAGTTCCAACCCTCGAGTTTTTGCTTCAAGCGAATCCCAAATTTTAAGGGGAAAGTACTGAAACCATGTAAGTCTACTGTGATGTGTATAGTTGCAACATGTCCAAACCAGCCCTTCACCAGATTCACTGGAAACTTGGCCCTGATTTCCCAGCCCTACAATTCACAGGCAGTTAAACAGTTTCCCTGAGAAGTAGGAAGGAGGATTTTTTCTCTCTGACGTGCTGCTGCACCATTAAACTATACTGGAGACCACCTAGGCCTTGTCTACACTAGGAGTTTTTGGATCCATAACTCCCACCATGTGCAGTTCGACCAGTGGAGACTGTAGTGTAGACAGGTGGCCTTGAGTGTTTGACCACTCTTATTTTCTAACCTTTTCTACACTGCAGCCTTAACTAGAGAAGCTGCAGTCAGGAATTAAGGGTCCGAAAATCCAAGTGCAGCCATACCTCTGTAGGAGAGATCTGTACCTTAACTTGGACAGCTTCCATTGTTGTATGCAGTGCAGTTGTGGCCGTGTTGGTCCCAGGATATTAGGGAGACAAGGTGGGTGAGGTAATATGTTTTACTGGCCCAACTTCTGTTGGTGAGACAGACAAGGTTTCAAGCCACACAGAGCTGTTCTTGAAGTCTGGGAATGGTACTCCCAGTGACACAGCTAAATGCAAGGGGTAACACATGGTTTAGCGTAAGTAGTTAGCATCTATACACATGCACTCTACCTTGACTGGTCCTTTAGAATATGTGCTAACTATATGTGCGAAACAATCTGTTCCATCTTCTAGTTAGCTGGGATGCCCGGAGTTCCTTTCCCAGACTTGAAGAAGAGCTCTGTGTAAGCTGGTCTCTCTCAACAACAGAAGTTGGTCCAATAAAAGATATTACCTCACCCACCTTGTCTCTCTAATAACCTGGAGAGGACGGTTCTTAAAAAAAAGTCTCCATTCATCCATGCCAGGGAATCAATGATAGAACTATTCTCACTAATACGGTTTCAGCTGTAGTGTGGTAGAACCTGTACACTTTGGATCTACCTCACCCAGCTGACAGAAACATGGTTCTGTCTCATCTCCTTTCTACTGGTGTTTGAAAATGGCTGAGCTGCTATTGCAGAGAGCCAGTTAGAGAGGATAGGTTTGTCACATCTACGATGGCAGCAATGGAGAGGAGCACCTGCTCCTGGGAACCTTTGCTAGCAAGTAATCCTCTTCCTGGTACAGCGGGATGTAGGAAATACTCCCACTGATTTCATTGGGCTTTGGATCAAGGCCCGAGCGTGGAAACCTGAGACCTATCAGTGGTTCCACCGGGGGTCGCTCAGGAACCCTAAAACCAATCCCATGTCTACATTCTGCCACTCCCAAGGCAAAAAGTAGATTCCCAAGACAATACCAAGCCAGAAGAGTCACGTGTAAGGCAAGACACAAAGAACCATCCCAGCATTTCTTCAAAAAACAAATGACAGAACCCTGGATGCAAGTTTTTTTTTTGTGATTTCACCCCCCTCCCCAATCTGTTTCGGAAAAAAAAATACGGTATCCAAAAAGCCAAGAACCACCAACTTGGAAGAGTCAAGTAAACATTCCAGTGAAAGTACAGAGAGGCTCCATTCCTTAAAAGGGATATATATCCGTTATCACCATGCTAGAAAAACAAGAGGCAGGAAAACCCTAGGAACAAGTAAAAGCCACAAAGTGAAACTATTGCTCTGGTTCTGTTTGTTGTAAATGGGCTCCCCTTAGTTTATTTTTAATAATACCGTGCAAACTGTAAAAGAGCAGGTTTGTTAAAAGCTATTATGGACTGTGCCATTTATTCTTATGGCTCAGTGGAGGCTCTGAATGAAACAGCGGGCCAGACCCCATGGAGATCATCAGGGCCAAATTGGCCTCTTGGTCACACCAGTCCAAATCCCAAGTAACTCCCTTGACTTTAGTGGTTTTGCTTTTCATTTGCACCAGTGTAACTAAGGACCCAGATTAAATGCAAGGTTCATGGTATGACACCATAATGCAGTTATGAAACATGGACACGCCCACCTCAGAAAAATACTGTGCAAATCCCCAGTAATGGCTTCAAGCCCATATGGCCCTATTTCTGCCCTTAAATATGCACATCTGACTTCAAGTAGGAGTTGTGTGCGTATATCCGAGGGTGGAATTGGGCCCCGCACCAATGCTCTTGTCAATTGGAGTACCGTGGGTCATTGTTGCAGAATATTTTAGCATTTTTAAAAACACTGACCCTATTATTTTAATTATTCTCTAAGAACTAGCACAATCTTCCTCCTGCCCCAGCGCAATCAGGCCCTGATACAGCAAGAGTCTAAACACCTTCCTCACTTTAAGCACATGAGTTGTCCCATCAATTTCAAGTGCATTATTCCCATACTTAAAGATAAGCACATGCTTAAGTAACTTGTTGAATCAGAGCCTGAGGGTTTATTACTTGTTGTCAAATACTTCGGGCTAGATTCCTGATCTCAGCCAAATCTGACGTATCTTTATGCCGCTAATACAGATTTACACTAAGATTCCTGAGATCCGAATCGGTCCCTTTGTCCGAAGTGTTTCCTATGATAACAAAAGGTAAAAGTGAATTATTATAATTATTTTATTTCAATGTATATAAAACAAAAAAAAAGTCTGTGTACAAATATCACATAACAACATCAACAATTCCATAGATGTAGTTCCTCAGTGCACACTTTAAACAAGAAAAGAGGTTGGGTTCTGTTTGTTTTGTTTTTGTTTTTAAATTCTGGCATAAATATATTAAAGCTGACAAAAAAACTCAGGGCAAGCTACATCACTTCCTCATACAAAAAATGTACAAAACATCAGCCTCTAACTAGACATAACATAATACTGGTCGTCACAGTTGGACATTTAGTAACTGTGTGTCTTGGAGCATTGTACTGAAGGGTAATAAAAATAGCTTCTCTTGCCATCTTCCAGCTCAGGTTACTTCAGTCATAGAGGCAGAGTGATTCTATAGAGAGGAAAATGAAAACACATGAAAGCTTTCAAGACATTTTGATTAGGGTGTCTAGATATTTGAAAGGGCGGGGAAGAATCTGTATCCTGACTCATCAGGAAATAGACCCTCCATCTCTAAGAGCTTAAAAAGAAAAGATCACAGCAAAGGTATCATTGCTGATTTTTAACCCGGGCCAAGATTTCCAAAAGGGACTAGTGATTTTGGGTGCCTAACTTGAGACACTTTAAAGGGGCCTGGTTCTCAAAGTGCTGAGCACCCTCTTTCCCCCCCTACCCGAAAATCAGGCCCCACATTGGGCACTGCAGAATTGGGCTACCCACACTCACTGTGTGGCTCTTGAGAATCTTGGTGCCCGTCATATTCCTAATTTGGAATCTCTGGGGACTTCAGTAATAAATGCAACCCCAGGGAGAGTTCACCCTTCCTTATGGGCTGGACTAAGCTCTATCCATGGATGGGGGGAGGGATAGCTCAGTGGTTTGAGCATTGGCCCGCTAAACCCAGGGTTGTGAGTTCAATCCTTGAGGGGGCCATTTAGGGATCTGGGGCAAAAATCTGTCTGGGGATTGGTCCTGCTTTGAGCAGGGGGTTGAACTAGATGATCTCCTGAGGTCCCTTCCAACCCTGATAGTCTATGATTCTATGTGCCAGTGCAGTACAAAGGAGCGTGACTCAAGATGCACTGGATGTAAATGTTGTCTAACAGTTCTGTTCTCAAGCATGCAGAGCTCTGCAGAAAATGGTCGAGCTGCCCAGGCAAACCGTGCACATGGGGGGAAAGGGTAAAAGGGGGCATGTTGGGTCCTGCCCAGCTTGATGATCCTGTAGTGCTAGGTGAATTCATGTCAGGGGGCAAGGAAATATAATGTAGAGCTGACCCGTGTGTACGGGGAGACTTTGGCAAACCACTAAAGTGCCCAAAACCACTATGGCTTATTGTTAAAAGCAAGCTGTAGATTGGCCATTCAGCAGTCTCAGCTTGACCAAGGGGGGGGGGACTTTTGGGGTGCCACAGAAAGGGCAGCTTGACCCCGTGTCCTTCCTGATAAGAATTGTGTTGAAGATGCTGATACATGCATTTTAAAAGAGCAGGATGTGCCCAAGGAATGTCTATTGGGGGTCTCAAGGCTGCAAACGCTGGAAAAACCCACACCTGGTTAATCAATAATCAGAAGGAACCTCTTGCTTGATCATTGAAACTGCTTACTTAACAAGGTTTCTTTAAGGGACATGTCATTCTATTACTAATGTATAAATAAGGGGGAAAAGCTTGAGATACTTGGACTCGTTTGGGGACTCTTCTGGACTCCTTTTGGACTCTCCTTTTGGATACATCTTGCGGTCCCCACCGGCAGGATTTGGCCACTGGAAGCCTGCCGCTGTGTCACTCGAAAGCCACACTCAGCTTTGGTAATGATCAAGGGTTGGTTTAATTTTACTGATCTTGTTGCGGACGTGTGTAAGTGCTTGAGACTAAGTAAAGTTTAGCTTTAAGTGAAAGCACTCTTGTGTTGTCCTGTTTGTGCCAGCCATCTATCGGTCGGACGGCCGTGTCTCCCCTGATTTATTTCCTGACACCTCCTCGCACAGAGTAAAAGTTACCAAGAGCTTTGGGTTGAAAGAACCCCGGGTAACAGTAAGACACAGAGGAGTCCAGAGGAGGGTGAAACTTGACTGGCTGATCTCATGGCATTGTATTTTCTATATGGTTTCCCAATTCCACTCCTCCTGGATCCAACGCTTTGCTGAGTTAATCTCCATGCTTGCGCTGAGAGCAGGGTTTCAC